CATAAATAGATACATAATGATCATAAAGGTCTCCCAAAATAGATTTGCATTTGTTAATATATTCACTAACATCATAATCGATACTTAAACTTGTATAATAAAATTCTAAAAGATTTTCCACACCTTCAGCTTTGACACCGGGGTCAAGAATAGCAGCAATTCCATAAATGATTGGAAATTCACTAAAATAAGTATTCCACTTACGTTTCATGCTATCAAGAACAGGACGAAGTCCATCAATCATCATATGCTCTTGGATGGTGTGAACAACTTTAACACACTCAATTATGACTAAATGAACATTAGGCTCATAAATATAAGAGAAAATATGAGTTGCACTATCAAAAGCATTTAAAACATCACGAACAAAAGAAGCATTAGTCCAATGACTTTCGGTTATTAACTCAGTAGGATCAACACGAGTCTCATTGTAAAGTTGGGTCAAAATATCACGATACTTTATAGCATCACTCAACAACTTGAAAGTAGAATTCCAACGGGTAGGGGTATCAATAGACCATTGTCTTTTCTTAAGACCTCTCTCTTTACACATAGCTATGTACTTTCTTCTAACTGACTGAGTAATCCTAATCCATTTTATAACTGTTCTAGTTGGGTTTAGCAATGGTTGCAACTCAGCGAGACCCTCTTGAACAGACAAATTCAAAATATGAGCACAACATCTAACATGCAAGAGACTACCACCCAACAACAAATTCAACTCGGAGTCATTTTTCAAATAGTCAATACACTTTGTGTTTGCAGTTGCATTATCAAGAGACAAAGAAAAAACTTTATTATTCAAGTGAAATTCTTTTAAACAATTCAAAATACGAACTTTGATGTTAAAACCGGTATGCCTTTCTTCCATAGCTTGAAAGCATAGTATACGTTTTTGAATAAACCAATCATCATCCACCCAATGAGCAGTAATGCAAAGAAAAGGTTCCCCAGAACTAGAAGTCCATGTATCACTTGTAAAACTAACACGACCATCAAAAGTACGAAATAATTCAATCAAACCACTCCTATACTTATAATAAGAAGTTTGTGTATAACGTCTTAGGGTGTTTCGGGGGACACGAGTAAATGCAGGTTGTAATGCAACTTTATTAAAATGCTCAACGTTTGCATTTTCACCGTAACTAAAAGGGTATTCATTAGCAATAACTAAAGTACTCATTTGATCAATCATTCTATCTTTATTATAAATGAAAGGTGTACCTCCGCCGGGTTGGTTCATGTATCCACCCAATTGTGTTTGGACGCCACCCCCCGAAGGACGAGGGCCATTTTCGAACAAGTCGTGTTTATTTTGCAAATGTCGACTCAAAGTTCCGGTTCCATCTCCCGTTTTCCAATTATATGACTTGACATTTGCACCTAGCGCCTTGCAAACTAGGCATGTACACGTGAACCTCTTTGGTTGACCGGATTGCCATCCCGGGGGTGTGACCTCAACTCGTTCAAAATGTTTCCACACCCAAGAAAATTGTGCTCGACCTCTACTTTCACCGCCACCACCTTTCATAAATCAAATTATTGAAATTAATTTTTCAACGCTATTCATGAAAATAAGCTTTTAAATTTTAAATATTTTAATTATACTTATTTAAACGCATTTTTCATGGTAATTAACTAATTGTAAATCATAGAAAATTGGAAACTAAACTAACTTTATAATCATTAATAATAGTTTTTTTTAAATATTCATAACAATAAAAATTTAATTAGAAATTACTTTGAGATGAAGGTTGAGATGTTGGTTGCGATGGAGGTGGCATAGTTGAACTTGATGATTGGTGGGAGAAATGTTGTGGTGGAGACGTTTGAATATTTTTCCCATCTCCTAAACCATAATCTCCATATTCATTGACAAATTGGTTTAAATTTTTCGTATTAATTTCATACGAAAAATTTGCACCACCACTCCTTTGGCCACCACTTCGACCACCACTTTGACTCCTTCCCATTCCTCCTCTTGAGCTCACTTTTTTTTTATGATTACTAATTATAATATGGAGAAGAACTTTTTTTTTTTTAGAATCTTAAGAATACTAATAATAATATTAAGGAGATTTGAGAACAATTAAGAATTTTTGAGTAAGAGAGAAAAAAAGCTTGAGTTGTGTGGAAATTTGAGTGAAATGAAATTGGTATTTATAGGGAAAATAGAAGGGATGGTCATACACTTAAAAAACTAGCCGTTAGATACAAAAAACTAGCCGCCAGATACAAAAAACTAGCCGTTTTTTTTAAAAAAATGGATGTTAGGTCGTGCGGGCCGTGCGGGTTGTGCGGGCCCTGTGGGTTGTGCGGGTCGTGCCAGATGGGTCGGGTTAGGTGGGTTCACGGGCTGGGTGTGTCGAATTAAATGGGTCAAAACGGGTTGTGCGAGTTGGGTCGAATCAAACGGGTTAAACCGAGCTGGGTTGAAATGGGTTGTGTCGAAAATTTTGGACCCACGACACAACCCGGATTGAATCCGAGCTGTGCCGGGTTGAAATCGGGTTGGACCCACGTGACTCACCAGCAGTGCGGGTTAGGGTGGGGTGGGTCCAACCCGGCCCACTGGCCACCTCTAAATATAGGATAAATATATCTTTTCTATAAATTATATGTATCACTCCATATCTTTTAATAATATTCTACTTAATAATATATTACATTCTATGAAAAAGATAGAATATTACATATTATAAAATATATATTTTAAGGAAAAATATGCTTGAGTGATAGATGAGTGATAATCTATATATTCAATACGTATACATTATATTTCTTCAAAAAAAAAAAATTCGTATACATTATATTGAGTTCCATACAAGAATAAAAACAAAAAATTTATTTCTTAGGATTATGTATGTAGGATAAAAAATTATTTACTATAATTAAAGTATAAAAATATTATTCAACACCTTTTACAAAATTAATTTGCTACTTAATACTACCCTCGCTTTCCCAAGTTCTATCCATTTACAATTCTTAAGGTTAAAGTGGAGGTAATATATTACGTAGTATATTTTATGAATAAAATAATTTATAAACTAGTGTATTTGAGTGATAATCTACCTTTAATATATAGTCAATTATATCTTTACTAAACTGTAATAGAAACTTAATTAAAATATTCAATATTTATGTGTAAAATATATCACATTTTATATATTATGAAGATTATTTTATAATATGCAATCAATAGAATCTTTGACAATAATATATATTCTAACAATAGACAGCTCAAAAAAAAAAAAAAAAAAAAAAGGGACATGTGTCAGCTTTGGAGCTAGTGTACCCTGTTTTAGTATAATATATATAGATGTGGTGTTGCCCGGCAAAATTCAGACGTTGTTTAATAATGGTTAAAATGAAATATTTTACGCCATATTTAATGGTATTAAGTTTTTGATACTACTAAGGAAAAAAAACCTTCCAACCTTATATTTGGGGTTTAATCCTCTACTAGGGTCTAGGGGCATTTAAGGGGAGGGATCCTTTTATACTTTCCCCAAATTGCCTTCTCTATATAGTATACAGTTATACACATGAACCATCTTCATATGGTCTCCTATTGCTACTTTACTCGTAACTATAATTATTTCTTTTTTATGATAACATAATAAAGAATTCTATGCATTTTAATCTGTTCTTGTCAATCTTGGGTACTATTGGCCAATAGCATTTTCTTACTCTATACTTTTATGCTCCGTTTATTTTGATTGAAAATATAATGAAAAACCTTTTTTAAAAGTAAACAATTCTTAATAGAAAATTGTGAATAAAGTTTTCTTTTGTTTGTTTGATTATAGAAAAACATATGGTGAAAAAGAATAATGACAGTATAAAAGCAAAGACAGATTCAATTGTATAGGGTAAGCCATATGAACAAATAAAACAATTTTTTTATAAGAAAAAAACACGAAAAAATTACAGAATTTGAACTCTAAACCTATTGCACTAAGATGAGAATTATGAATCTCAATTAAAAACCAACTTAACTAGCTTTCTTTTTGCTTTACAAATACAACAATTTAGTAAATAATACTAAATATTTTGGGCATGAAGCAGGCCATGGTCGAGGTAGACCTTCCCTAAAATCTGTCTATATATAAGAGCGGAAGGATAGAGGAGAAAAAATAGAAAAATGATAAAGAGGAAAAAGATATTCCTCATACATCTATAGAAATTGTTTTCCACCCTCTAACACACGAGAGGAAAAAAAAAAAAAAAATAGAGAAGACAACTACAGAGCTTTAAAACATAACATGTGACGGTTGGCACAAAAAAAAAAAAAAAAAAATTCATGAAAATTGCTTAATGGTAGATTGGTAGCAAATACCCCTCTGTTTTTAAAAGTTATTCATGTTTGAAATATTTTTGTCTTACACAAAAATTTTAAACAAGAAGATCTTTTAGATCCGGAGAGAATTTGTATCGACTTTGATTAATCTATCTATTGTTAATCAGTTTGAAAACATCAAGAATAATTCTTCTATAGTTTGTATATAATCGAGATCATTTCGAAAGACTAGCAAAAGCTTGTGAAGACAGAGAATGGTTTGAGATTACTTACATCGTATATTATTGAATTCTTTAATTACATAATTTAGTGGTGTTTTGAAAATATTGACTAATCTTGTTATTTTAAATTTTAAGTCAATTATCATTATAATTAGAATAAACTTCTTATTATACACCTAATACTAGTTTTCGCTCATTGGATTAAAGTACGTGTATAAGATACATGATACACCTGAGAGTGTCGTACTTTACTATCTAAAGGTATAATAGACATGTACTCAAACTCATTCATAAGATGTATGATACACCCGAGAGTAATGTATTCAACTATTCGAAGGTATAATAGACTTGTACTCAAACTCGTTCGAGTGTCATACCCGACTACCCGAAAGTATTAATAGACATGTAAACAAAGTCATCACAATCTAATTACTTGTATTACCCTATTGAATAAGCTCTAAATTGAGAAATGAGTGGTAGGTTAAAATTCCATGGATAGTTCAAAGAATATGGTAGGGACAAAGCATCCGCATCCGCATCCGCATCCACATCCACATCCCTCAATTTCCTAACTCTCTTCAATTTCGATTCTACTCATCCACACACAAAATCCCTCCTTTTCTCTCTCTTCTTTCACCCCTTTTCTCTGCAACCTCTCTCTTTGATGACAATGGTGGTGGTGGGTATATAACATGAAGAAGAGTAGAGGAGAGAGAATTTTGATGTGCTTCCATGGCAAGTAGCTGGACTAGTGCATTCTCACTTTCACCCCACCATTTTTTTAGCTCTAAAACTCGAAGCATTTTCTTTAGTTCTGGGACTAGAAAACCCATTTTTACTCCTATTCTTTCTTCTGTTACTAAAGGTGGAGCTCCCTACAAAAATGCTCTTATATCTGAGGTATAAATTGTGTTCTTGGTTTCAATTTTTGATTTTTCTTTATTGATTGATTGTAGTTTGTGACCCATTTCAATTTTGAGCAATTTGGGTAAGTTTTTGTTATATGGGCTTGTTTGGGAATGCAATTTGTGATGTGGGGTTACTGTTTTCACAATTGTTGTCTGAATTAGAAGGTATAATTGTAAATTTGTAAGGGTAGTTCAAGAATTCTGGGAAGAATGTAAGAGGATTGATTCAAATAAATTAGGTACTTGAATGTTATGATTATGAACTGCATGATGTAATTGAAAGTATTTGATTTTGAAGCTAGATTGCAAGCATTTTGATGGAGTGTTGAATTTGTGTTGTTTTAACTCAAATAGATGAAAACAGAAAATGAGTGAAATTGTGAGAAATATTTGGTGTTTTAGATTGTATGTAGGATAGTTGTGGTGGTATATTGACTTAGGAGGTTGCACTTTATGGTGTAAGTGGTGGTGGTATAGGAGGTTCTTGCCTTCTTGATAAGAGGTGGTGGTAGAAGTGGCGAAAATAGGTTAGTGGTGGCAACATTATAGTGATTTATACCCCGGATAGGACTCCCCTTACAGTTCCTAAGGAGATTATCGCCACGCTTTATCTAGCAAGAGTCCAAAAAATGATGAAAAAGGATGTTTGCAAGTCCATTTAGATTGAAAAGTTGCTTCCTGCTTCAAAAGGGTTTAATGGGTACATTTTTAGCTCATATAGTTATCACTTATGATGGAATCTACTTGCAGCAATGGTAGGAAAACTATGACCCTGAAAGCTCTGTATAACTAACTATCTCGATGATCATTGAATGAAGTTTAGTAAGCTCATAAACTAGAAAATGTCTAGGGGGTGTAACTGGGATGTCTAGGGGATGTTGGGATTTAGAAGCCCAAAAGTATTAGTTTACAGTTATATATTTTTTTGTTAAAAATAAAAAATTTGTTGGGGTTTGAGAAGCCATGAATAAGATTATGTCATGAATAAGATCCCATGAAAATGTTGATTAATTGACATAGAATCTTAGCTATTCAACTTTCAGTGATGAGATTCTTTTGTCACCCATGATGTTGGTAGGCTGTTAGAATTTTGGGTCCTCAAGCAAGGTTCGAAGCATCAAAGCTGACAGTGGATTTCATGGGACAAGAAGTTGATGAGTACACCAAAGTTGTGCCTAGAGTCTACATTCTCTCACATTGTGATTTCACTGCAAATTTAACCTTAACCATCTCCAACATCATCAATGTTGACCAGGTATGCACCTTAAGGTATGCATAATGGCCGTTCATCATATCCTTGGCATAGTCCGAAACAATTGTGTTCCTTTCCTTATTATTTTTGGTGTGTTCGGTTACTTTGTAATTTGGATGTAATTTCCTCCTCTCGCATAATCTGATTGGTCCTGAAGTATTTCACATCTGGTAATTTCTTAAGCAAATCCAACCTGTATGATCCCTTCATATTACAGAAAATACTGTTGACTTTTTTTTTTTGTTGTTGTGCCATGTTGGGTAGCTAGGTGTAATTAAGGTAGTTCCTGAATTTGACATTCCTACTGTATGCATGCTCGTTCAAAATGTTTTTAGTACTGTGATACATGTTCATTTGAATACTTGTGTTTTGAAATTGCAGTTGCAAGGATGGTACAGCAAAGATGATGTAGTTGCTGAGTGGAAAGATATTAAAGGGAAAATGCACTTGGTCGTTCATTGCTATGTTAGTGGTCCCAACAACCTCTTTCGTGATTTGGTTGCTGAGCTACGATATCACATTTTCTCTAAAGATCTTCCATTGGTGAGTTCGTCTTCCTGTCTTAGCAACATGAATTTCCACTACATATGAAAATCAAATTTTTAATATTGTTTGTTGGCCTTGAATAGGTTCTTCAAGCTGTTCTGTATGGAGATTCAGCCCTCTTTAAGGCACATCCAGAGCTTATGGAAGCTGTTGTATGGGTTTATTTCCATTCAAGTTCGGCGAAGTACAATTGCATTGAATGTTGGGGCCCTCTCAAGGATGCTGCACAAGTAAATTAACTCCCGATTAACTCTCTGATTTTCAACGGTGTAACTCCCTCGGTTCCTGAATAATAGGCCATAGTTCTATCATAAGTCACTCTTAATGATACTCTTAAGGCCTTCACAAATTATTCCAATTTCCAAATAACGTCCAACATTAATGAGGTAGAGAAGTAAAAGTTCATATAGTGAGGTATACTTTAGGTAGTTATCCCAAGATCTTGAAAAAATGACCCTCAAATCAAGTGTGGCCTATTATCGAGGGAGTTATTAACTGTTTGTTTAAGCTTGTTTAAAAAATGTGTGAACATACTTACGGATAGTTCATATTTTCGCTTTCCAGAAGGGGGACAAAGTCCGTGGCGTGTTAACTACAAATGACACAAGTACTCCGCAACAACAGAAACTACAGAGTCCCAAATCCTTTTTCCAAGCTCTATTTACTTTTCTTCTATGAGTTGCTTTTGTACAGCAAATCACACAATCTTCAGCCAGAAACAAGATTCTTCTTACCCGCAACATAAATTCTTCCAGCTCTTTGATGTAGGGAAGGCCAAGGTTTAATCCTCTGTTGATGGTTTTGTAAGGGGTTTGATGTTTCATTTTCAAGTATACTTTGTCAAACACATGATTCTTGGTGCTACTTGGACTGTTTTGTTCATTGATTCATTTAATTGATCAATGGTTAATTGTTTCTGCTGTATAGTATGTATATTATGATACACATTTTTGGTATTTCTTCATCTCAAAATCTGATGATTAAGATAAATCCTTATTGAAGTTTTGAGATTTAAGCATCAGGATCTTTACATGTCATTCTATAAACTCAAATTCTTGTCAGTGTATTGTTTATGAGAGTCACCATGAGTCTATGATTCCTACCGGCATTAGGGCATGCTAATTGGATGATTATGTATTACTTCATAATCCATATCACCCTTAAAAAATATCGATTTTTCTTGTAAAATTTAGCTATTTTCAGATAACTAAAAACTTCAAATGTCATCCTGTTTTATACATGAATCAGTGTTTGATTGTTTGTGTAAAACATTTTTCAACCTGATTGGTCGTGTCTCGTGTGTTACTGTCAAGGGCTCTTCGAACGCTATGCAAAAATGACGAAAATGGAAATGACCAAGTGTTCTCCCTTGACACCCTTGTAATATAAAGAAGACCCAAAATAGTGAGAGAGTAATCACTGTATTCATTTATGGATTGATTACACTATTACAGAATAACTAAATTTGACAGAAGCTTAACTGATACACCATGTTGAACATGTTTTAACTCTTCTGGAAACAAACATAGTAAGGAAAGTTCCTATTTGACTAGCTAGCTGATATATAGGAAATTTCCTAGGTTCGTTATCGCTACATACATAAACCAGACCACTGCACCTCAGTCACTGTCCTATCTTATGCTAGTAACTTCACTAATTATTTCTTCGTCACCACCATATTAAACCTCCTACTCTCTTGCACTCAACACTCCTCTAAGGGCTCTAACACTGCATGTGTTTGCATGGATTCGATCGTGAACGGTAAGAGGCTTGGAAGCATTATTCTCTTTCATTTTCAGCTTGTACAGGCCGTAGATATTGTTCTTGATCAATTTATTTGTATGGAGACCATAGAAACCTGTCGCGCTAAGAGGGTGGCGTTTCAGCAAGGTCTGGTCGCGAATAGCAAGAAATTACATCGAATTCCACCAGTAAGAGGCAGGATTAAACGACGAATTTTTGCGAAATTTTACAAAGTTTTAAAGCATGGAACTCGAAGATCAGTGACATATACTTCATCACTCTGTACGTAGGTATAATAATACAATGCCTGTTCCTAGTTTATTAGAAAAGCTTGCTCAAACAGTCTATTAATAGATTGTGGTTTTCTCTTGACAAAAAATATATTGCAATGTATATCTTCATTGATAAATTCAATTTGTTACTGTTGCCCCCAGTTCATTTCTGATACTATGTTCTCTTTAATCTTTTCCAAATAGTTATAAGTTGAAATGGAGTTTACACCATCACAACATTCGCAAGCTACTTCGTATAATATAATGAAATCTCTTAGAAATTAAATAGATTGAATGAAATTACATATATACTTACAATTATTATAAGGATAACTGCATTTAATAACAATTTACAATATCCTTTTTTATTTTTTTTTTATCTTATTAGTAGAAAAGAAGAATTTCATCCCTAGCATGTTTAATTTATTACTCCCTTGATCCCTTCGATCATTTTTTGTTCTTCCCATTTGAAACTTTTTGTGAAAAAAAAGAGCATAGTAGGAAGAATAAAAAGGATAGGAAAGAGTACTTATATAGGTATTACACATAAGTCTATCTCAGCAAGTTCATTCCATTATAATTTGTATAAAAAAGACTTGATAATGCACAAATTAAAAGTCACTCACCAGCCAAGAGGGGTCAATTGAACCCACAAACTTCTGAGTACCTCCACCCCATTAGCAGGCTAACTTGAGATAGGTTGTCGAGCTTGTTACTAAATATACAATGATTCAAAAACTCAAGAATCACAAGTTTTTTTTGACGACTAACAGGTTCAATCTCGGCACACAAGAACAATCTCAGTATTCAATACCACTTTGAAATCACCAAATTGTACTATACACCGCAATCAGTTCTAGCATACAAAGCACTAACAAGTCAAGACTACAGATGCTCCAAATGAGAAGCTCAACAAAAACGATGAGCTGAAAACCAAAAAAAGGGTACAGTCATACAGTGATATGATTCGAGAACCAATGACACCATAAATGCAACGGTATGCATACACAAATGTGACAATAACCTAGGAATCTAATACTCCAAATCTGTACTGCAGTAACTTATGCCTCTACATAAACCATTAAAGCGGCCTATTGTTGGATTTTGAAGCCGAAGATTTAGATTTTGCAAAATCAACCAGGTCCTTGAATAAGGCATCCTCTGGCTTTTCTTGCTTAGGAGGGCTTGGCGACTTAAGAGAAAGATTTTGTGTCTGTCCCACCATACCATCATAAGAGGAACTGGATCCACTACAGGAATGTGATGCCCCACCGGGAAAAGGCTGTTTCTCAAAGAACTGTTGCCTCTGATTATATTTGATGGGGGGTGGAGGCAAGGGTCCAGGAGGAGGAGGAGGAGGAGGAGAGTCCCAAGGAGCTAGAGGGAGATTGTCAGATTTGTTCAAGCCAGTATGTTCATCGTATAAAGGGCTCTTATCAAACAAGGGTGAGGAATTGCTGGCAATGGACTGATGAGGGGGTGATGGTGATAATGGACCAAGCGATGCAGTGGGATTTACATACTTGGTAGGACTTCTAACAGAAAAAGGCACTGGTTCCTCTGCTCCAGATGATCTTTCACCATTGTATGAATCACTGCTAGGATAACTGGAGGATCTTTCAGAGTTGTATAAATCACCACTCAGGTAATCAACTGACCCAGCATCACTACTAACTGGCCTCTTCGATGAAGGAGGGGGAGGAAGAAGAGGATTCACTTGTGCCGGTTCAGCCTTGGAAGTAGCCAGATTCCGTCCTTGTCGCTGCATATCCCTTGACCTACAATATCATGGTTTCAAATTTTAATCAAGCAATCAGACTAATCCAAAGGTCTGATTCACTACTTCGATTCAAGTACAATTCAGTAAATCACATGCTGCAAAAGCTTAAATGACATATTTTTATGACTTAAGAGAAAGAATAGAGAGGTATAGGTTAGTTGTAGAGCATAGTCAAAACCCATAATAATTCAATAGTTAAACATTCTATGCAGAAAAGTGGATCATAATTAGTTATAAATTAGTTCATGCATCAATCTCTGATTCTCCCTATACAAAAACATTGAAGACTAGTGGCCAACTTATCAACAAGATACAGAGATTCAGGGAATTTAGGAATAGAGGTAAGGCCATTTCAGGGAATCACAACTTTAACCATCTTATCACTATTTCTGACAAGTTCTTCCCAGTTAGTGATAGCAAACTATAAACCAGCTCATTAACTTCTCTTTGATGGGAGAAAATCCGTATTAGATCATAAGAAGGAAGATCATGTTGTCTAGAAAACATGCACATATCAGGCTGATAAAAAATAAGAATGAGAGGAATTAGTCTTTATGCAAGCTCGTAATGATTACCTGTGTGCCAACTGTGCAAATTCATCCTCTGATTCCTCTTCATCGTGGTCATGGTGTGCATTCACATATGGTGCTGCTGGAGCTCTAGTCGGTTCCGAACTAGCATTTGAGACTCCTTTAGCAATGTCATCATGACGTCCAAGCACACGCTGCAAGTCATCATTCAATGCCAAACCCTGACAGAGAAGTTCCTCATCCCTTTAAAAAAGAAACCAGGATCTCAGCATCGCTATAACTAAGTTCTAGTGGCTCGATATATCACATATTTGGAATACTTACGTGGCGTTATTCACAAGAGTCATAACACGCTTTTTGTAATTACTGCACTGTTCAACAAGCTCCACAATTACTTCTTCTTTTACCCCCTAAAATGTAAATGAGCATAAATCTGTGTTAGGGTGTCAACTGCAGGTGTTATTGCTGCTTACAAGAATCAATAGATTTGAAGAAAGCTAAACTTCATAATGAATCCTCCTTATCAATTTTCAACGCTGTAAAAGCACCTTTGCCAGAGATGGCTTATAAGTTAGAACAATGAATTCATTATAGAGCTATAATTATGTTCTAATACTCTATCCAAGCAGCACAAAAATAACAGAGTGACATCTAGTATGTCTCTATGCTTGCCACGTGTAATATTCTTTGGGACATCAAATTTAGAAAGAACCATTAGTTACTATGGTTAAGCATATAGAATGTTTTCATCAAATTGTCGTGTCATTTGTGTCAGAAACTAAAAACATACCTCACTGTTATTGGGATCCAGAGCTCCAAGCATTTCCATCAAAACATCAGCTAGCCCTTTAGCGGTTTGAATTTCTTCCAAGCTGCTCAAAACAAATATTTAAAGCTTAATATAGCTAGCTCACCATCAGATACCACTTAAATTAGATGAAACCTTCTCAATGGAAGCAGTTGTATTCATTAAAGTTGACAATTTGGTCTAAATTCAGATTTTAATAAATTCAAACAGAAACTTAATATTAAAAATAAAAAAAAATAAAAAAATAAAAAAATAAAAAATAAAAGAAAGAGGCAGGAAGTAATAAAATCATACTTTGATTCCTCACAAGCAAGTTAAGGATTCATCCTACCATCACAAATTTAATAAAACTTTAGCCATAAAGTAGTGAAAAGGTTTAGCAAATAAATTGAATGCAAGTAGGAAATGAATCAAGTTCCTAACCGATCCAGATAACCGTCCAATCATGCCACTAAAGAATTTTGAACCTCAAACAAAAGTCTTTTTACTGCATAGTCCAGTTTGAAGCAAATTTGAACTTAATCATGTATTTATAAAATCACAGTTTTAAAAGGGAAAGAAATAAACTTCCCAGCTTAATAGTACTAAAAGGCCTCTAAATACAAAATCTACATCGTCAATCATCTCCAATTTTAGTTGTCTAATAAGAATAGAAGAGAAATTACTTCTTCCTTTTATGGTACAGCAATAGAAAAAAATATTACGGAGTAACAGACAGGTTAGTCACAAAGTAGTTTCAACTTTCCTTTCAATATACATAAAAGCAGATCAAAAGAAAAAATCATTAGATGCACAAACTAACATGAGATATTGTGAATGGAGAACTGGAACTTGACATAAAAATAAAGCTTCAAGAACATCTGGACAAAGCAACATGCTGAATGATATGCATTACTAAGAACAGTATAGGCTAAATCAGAAAAGTACCTCAAACCAGAAGGGTCAGACTCTAGAGAAGCAGGAATTGTTTCATCATCATATACTAGAGCCGGATTGGAAAGGGGCTGAGTTTGTGGAGGAGTAAACAATGGCACACTGTTGTCCTCTCGAGGTGGAAATGTTATCCCGGCCGACTGTCATTATCAATTAACAGCAACCAATCAGAGTTAATTTATTAGACAAGATTATGGAAGTTGATACAAACCAATCTTCCTAAAGTAAATATACAAGGAGAAAAGAATATCAAGGACGTTTGAAACTTAGAACAAGAGGACCCAGTGAGAGGTGAGACCAGAGTATATAGGCCCCAGGATGAACATCCAGTAAACTAATGAGGCACATAATGTGGTCACTCCCCTCCCCTATATAACACTTTTGTTCCCCACTGCAGAACAGACTGCTCTTCAGTTCCCAGACTTCCCACTAATATATACTCCATATATGTAAATAAAATGACAATGAATTTGTAGATGGAAGGTAGTCATTAAATATAATTCAATAAGAACCAATTTTTTTCAAGACAAGCAGCCACAAGCTGTCAACAACTCATCAATAATTAAGAAAGCTTGTCATTATCAGACTTAAACCAATTTCTAAACCTATCTCTTTTCTGAGATTCTGCTGCTTTGCTTCTCAACTCTGCACCACAACCCCCTCTCTTGGCTCCCTCTCTAGGAATCAGGAAAAAGGGAGGGAACTAAACAGCTTTTGCGAACACAAGAGGATTGAAACATAGCTCTCGTTTTAGCTAAAAGAAGCAAGAAATGAAAAAAAACCAAATACAAAACAAAATAACTAGTCGATCACAAAGGAATCCATCAATTGTGCTCCACTTGGACAAATAAGGCCATTGTTTTCAGCCACAATTCCCAAAAATTTCAAATGAAATACATTACCAAGGACCTTGTCCTTGTGTTCCTCATCCCTAAGACCAACAAATCCTGTCATGAGATGGTCCAAAAGAATGCTTGGAAATTCAGTAGAAACTAGATGATAATGCTTTCTTGTATCCTCAATCTTGTAGGATTGTAGCACTACAAATGGTGTAGAGGTCACATCAATAATTTACAGTAATTGTATATTAAACCCACCTTCCAAAGCAATACATGTCTAAAAAAAAGAATGCCTTTTTTCATTGCCAATTATGTTTCTAATATAATCAACTGCGTCAAATATATATCCAGATTCATACGTAAGGAAACACAAAGCAACGTGAGATCTTATTAGCTTCGTCTCACTATATACTTCCAAAATATTAAATTTTAAGAGAATTTCTTATGAATAATTAGAAATATTAAAGGTGAAAGTTGTGTGTTAGCAAGGGTGAAAGTCAAAATGAGGAAGCTTAAATAATGAAAGGAGTACACCAAAATCTTAAACAACATACCATAATACAGTCATCCAACCTTTTGCATCACATAGTTGAGGGAAAAATCCTTTTAAGTTATAAGAGGTAAGAACATTCTTGTCCTCATCCGCAAAGAAAATTGTGAGACATGGATTTTATCGGAGATAAACAAGGTTCAATATTATAGTACAAACTATGTACTATAAACTACGTTTTTGATTCAGCTTAAGCATTCTTTTTTCATGCTCAGTGCTATTGCATTTACCATTTGTTTCAAAAAGACCCATGCAATGCCCAGGGAGAGCAAAAGGGAGCAATTCTATGGACTCTCAGCAAGATGATACTGTAATTAGTAATTACCACCTTTAGAGGCATCATTTAGACAGGGTAAGGAAATTCACACACGTATCTAAGGAGGATTAGTGGAAAGTTCAAACAGTGTTACCTTCAATTCATTATATGCTGCATGGAACTGGGGATACCGCCCCCTTGGTCCTCCCAAGGCCTCTTGCCAGGTGTCTATCAATATTAATATTCTTTCCCTTACACTTAAATCTGGCTGTGCAAGAAAATGTTACAGAGAAGATTAATCAGCACTTACCAATAGTGCAGCAAAAAAGAAAACGTCTACTAGATGGGAAGATTAGACACCTTTTTCTTCACAATCTTGACCATATCATGCAAAATGTCGCGCTCAACAATCTGCTGAAATATCCTTTCCCCACAGTTTTTTCCAAGAGTGTCCAATACCTAAAAAAAAATGCACAGAAGAAACACATCTGAATTTTAATTTAGTATTTGAGGATGGGGTCTCTCATTGGGACAGGCATGAAGCTAACAAACCCACATGAAAAAGCAGCTAGAAACCATACTAACCAACAAAATTGTACAAGCTAAGAGCTTCCATGCCCCATAAATTTAAACGCATACTTCACATCAAAAGAAAGACATAACATTTCAAAACCGCACTGAAATACAGACTGACCACAAATAAAGCTAGAGTTGCCTTTCTGCTTATAAATTTATCTTCTAAAATCATCTTTGATAAAGCTTAATTAATTCATGGAGCTTGTCAAGAAAAAAGCCAAGTAAGAAAAGCAGTTCAGCATTAGGAAGGGTACACAATCTTTACAATGCAACATTCTTCCAGTGATCTTTTAAGAACCTTGACTTGTCACAAATCTGAACTTCATATTTCTATACATGAAAAGAAGCATTTACAAAGCGACAGTTTTCCAGTGACCTTTTTACAACCTTGACTTGCCACAAGTCTGAACTTCATATTTCTATACATGAGAAGAAGCAATATAAACACTCACTATTGACTATTGAGTGCTGCACCTTCAAAATTGTAACTTTAAGTTGACCCATAAACTATAATAGACTAGATAATCTGATTTGTATATTTATATAAATAAGCAAAAATTTAAGGCTGAAAGCTTGAAATTATATTAAACTTGCTAATGATTTCTTACAAAAGGAAGTAGATTTAGCCTACAGTGACTTGAGGTCACAACTCTCATAAGGATTCACTCCAAAATTCTGCCTATCTTTTCTTTCTTACTCTCTCCCTATTTATACTAATTACTAAGGCCAAGGAATATTAACCTAATAGTACTATAATACCCATATTGCCCCTCCTTAGGATAGTTTATTGCATAAACAAGTCGCAAAACCCAGGCTTCCTTTTTAGTTGCAATGAACTGCTAATTTCAAGCTCAAATCTTCCAGAATTAGAAAAGTTTGAACATGGGCATCCTCCACAATTGCCTAAATGAACCATAAAGCCAAATAAGTAGGATTAGAAAGGGTTAGGAAGTGCCTCATTCTATCTTACCATCCTAAAATAGCATTATTTAGAGCTGGGGCATGCTTGCAAAGTGATAGGAGGGAATTGCAAATTCAAAGCTATCCTCCTGAAAATATGAAATTTCTACTCACATCCTCCTCCATGGACATTGTTGTTTAGTGTATCAGTGTGTATGTGGGAAATTTTTCCAAAAAATGCTTTAAAAAAAGAATCTACATCAATTTTAACTTAATTACCACAATACCATCCTCGTGGACTCGGGAGCATAGAGTGGATTTTATTTTTTTTCGAGGTTTAGGCATAAAGCTACTACTTTTGAATTGAGATTCAAGGGGGAGGGGGATTTTGTTTTACTATAAATTGCCAACTCTGCTGGCAACTGCTTACTAGGCCAGTTCAGAGTAAGGCAAATAAAAATACCACTCCCGAGCCTACGTGGACGGTATTCTGGTAATATGTTGAAAATGATGTAAAATGAGGGAAAATTGTAAGTTGGTAATAGTGGCCTTTGAATCAACTATAAAAGAAGAAACAACCAGTCACAAGCTAAAGACAATCATGGGATTTGTCCAACCTCCATCCATGACTGATCATCCATTGTTAAAATGATGTCAAAGTGCATTTTTAAATGCACCAAGACAGGTGTGTAATTCTAGGCAGACATGCAGTTACATGCCTTGGAATATGTGTAATACCACCTACCCTTGCAGATGCTACAAATTGTTGCCACCTCTGGTTTAAGTTGTCAATTGATAAGTTGACAGCTATCATGAAAAATCACACTCACCAAGACTCAAATGTGCCCAAGCAACCTCAACTCCTAAGTTATACATATACCTCACTATGCTGGACAAAGTGGCACTGGAATTGTCTGCTCCCATGGACCCATTCTAATCTTTGATATCCAATCACTGATCAATAACCTCCCCAAAATTACTCAACAATCATAAGTGCAACATTAGCACAAGCGATTTGACCAATGATATCAGATCCTGACCAACCCAAAACCTAAGCAACCCTCTTCTATCGGATTTCTCCAAACAAGAAACTGCAAGCAAAATATATCTGCATATACATTATACAGTAAGTACGATCACTAAGTAATTTGCTGAAGTATTGTCTGTCCAGAGCCCTGATTAAAATATTTTAAAAATAATATAAATAAGTTTGTTAGGTTGTGGCCGTGTGGAGGCGCTCTAGTGCTAAGGTTGAATAAAGTTTGAATGTCAAAATAATGTTCATCCTGCCCCCACTGTTTCAGCCCCTGTACAAGAAGGGTTAAAACAAGACGGAATAGGAGTTTGCTTTAAAAAGATATTCAAATATGCATTTATTCTCCCCTCTCCCCAAAATCTACAAATTTGAGAAATTCAACTAATCATGAAAGCATATAATTTTAGGGAAAGTAAAGGGCTCCAAATTTAACTAACTGAATTTTTGGAAACCTTATAACCATTCAAATGAGCTCTCCATTTGGTCTTCCCCACACCAGCTCATCCAAGCAATAATCTATCCCCAAATACCCCAATATATAAGTCTATTACTAGCCCTCATAAATTCCTCTGACATGAAAAAGACTCTAATAGACCGTAAAGTCAAACAATAGACACAATCAATCAATCAAAGCCTTAATCCCATAAGTGGATCGGCTACATGAACGAAAAGTGATTGTTTCGTATAGTCATCCACAAAAATCTACCTCCTCCATCCCTTACGATCAAATACCTCATTCTCATGCAAATCCATATGCTTCATATCCTAATTAACTCCTTTCAACCAAGTCAGTTTCGGTCTCCTTCAACCTCATTTAACCTCTCCATGATCCCACTCTTCCACTCTCGTACCAGTGCACCCTGAGTTCTCCATCTTACATGCTCGAACCAACGCATGCAATTTTCCCTTTTGTCTGCAATGCCTACGACACCCACTTTCTTGCGAATAACTTAATTTCTGATTTTATCTCTTAGAGTGTTCCCGCACATCCATCTTAGTATGCGCATTTCCGTAACCTTCATCTTTTTAATGTGCTCCTTTTTAGAAGCCAACATTCTATACCATAGAGCAACACTGGTCTTATGGTAGTCCTATAGAATTTCCCCTTTCAAATGTAAAGGAATGCTTCGGTCACATAACACTCCCGTGACCCTCTCCATTTAAGCCACCCCGACTTTATCTTGTGGGCCACGTCTTGATCAATGTCACCATTCTACTGGGTGATCGACCCAAGATATTTAAAACACTCACTCATGGTCAAATCCTTTCCGTCCAAACTCACTACATCATCGTTTATCCCCCTCTATGTACCAAAGCGGCATACCAAATATTCAATCTTACTCCAACTTAGCTTAAACCCTCTAGATTCCAATCTTTGCCTCCATTGCTCCAATTTGATATTAACCCCATCTCTAATTTCATCCACCAAAACGATATCATCCGCAAACAACATACACCATGGAACCATGGAACCTCATCTTGAATTGGCCTGGTTACTTCGTCAAGAACAGAACTAACAGAAGCAGAGAACACCTAAAAAGTCTGTCTATACAAATGATTAAGACCTATCCTCTGAGCTTCCCCAAAATTGAGCACAAATAAAACAGAATAGGATGAATAACGGCAAAGTATCCTGATTCCTAAAGAAAAATCAATTAACACACACAGAGAACACCTAAAAAGTCTGTCTGTAGACTCTGTACAAATGATCAAGACCTATCCTCAGAGTTTACCCAGAATTGAGCACAAATAAAACAGAATAGGATAAATTAAGGCAGAGTGTCCTGATTCCCTGAAGAAATCCTCTCAACAACAACTCATCAGAATTAAATAACTTTCGGAGAAAGAGCTTCATCTAAGTTGGACTTAAATAGGAAAGTAAAAAATGGGAAATGCAAAGGACAATATTTTTTTAAAAGTATAAATTATTTTGCAAAGCAATATGAAATTCCTTTGTTTGTCATTTTTAATAGATAGTTGTAACAAAGTATTGGAGTTCTTTGAGTTTATTTAAAGATACTACTAAAAAGAAAATACAGTATCATTTTGGGATAGAAAAGATCCTAAAAGGGAAGAACTTACGCGTCATTTTACAAGAACATTACCATGATTTTGCCCAAGTTTCCAAAATGTGAAGCATTACCTTCCCAAGAATTTTGAACATCATAAACTCGCATACAAAAGCTAACTGCATAAATTATAATTCAGGGCAAAGGAATCAAACTAAACAGATCCTTATGTCCATCCCTGAGCCCTGGCCTTTCACAAACAGAGACTGTTCAACCTTATGTCCAACCCTGAGCCCTGGCCATCCATAAAGAGAGAGACTCTTCTGAAAGACTTTCAAAGATGACAAGCAATCTTGCCTGCATCTAACTTTACTTCAGAATACTACTGAATACACAAATTTAAGCCTTCTCAATCCTCAAACTGACAGTATCATTAAGGTCGCAAAGACAAGACTAGTAACAAACCAGGTAAACAAACATAGCTTTCTTAGAATAGAAGATCAGTACCTGGTACAGTATTAATTACAGAAAACCCAACCCAAAGTCAACTTAAATCACACAAACATGCCATAGGTTACACCTCCTTAGTTATTCGCATTATAGGACACATCTTCTAAACTGAGCAATTTATCAGATAAACTATGAGTTTTAAGGTCCAATGGGAAAAAGTAGCTAACAAAAAAGGTTCCCAAGCCCATATAAAATTAACAAATAATTATAATCCAACCTCATCATAATAGTTTCACTTCCTGCTTAAATGCAGAAAAAAAGAGATGTTGAAACCATAATATGCAATTGCTTTGTTCGGCAATGTTTACTTGACAGCTTAACAGTAACCAATAGAGCCAAGAACAATTCAAGATGCATGGATGACCCTGCTGCATCGAAGTCAAAGCTACAATACAGCCTCGAACAAATTCATTTTGCCATGAAAATCAAATTGGAATTGAACCAATACAAGTGAATCAAATAAGGAACTTAAGTTCCATGTGATTCAATATGTATGAGGCACTGATCCCTGAGATAACAAATAATTTTCGAGTCATTTTGGCTCTACACATTAGAAAGGAAATATGCCAGAAAAGTACTGTGGCAAATGATAATTGAAAAGAGACCTTAAGTCAACATTCATGCATCAGTCAGACAAAATAAAAATATGACAAAAATATTCAACTTCAAATTAAGTGCCCAAACAAGCTCTGTGAGTGACAGATAAGAAAAATACGTACAGATAGAGCAAGAAGTTGAACTTTGGAACTCTTATTTCCGAGACGCTTCTTAATAATTTTTAGTGCATCTTTTGCTTGACTGCAACAAAATAAAAGGTATACATGGGGAGATTGTAAAAGTTTGCATTTAATAATGATAACATTTTTTTCTTTTCAATGGAAGGCATGGAAAAAAATAGGGGCAAAGTATCAAAGACAAAACATGAGCACATTTTACAGCTCTCTTGTAAAAAAGAATTCTGCTGCAATTGGACTTAAGCTATACAAATTCTGAATAATTTGGCAAACAGATAAGTGTTGATGGCTGAATGGAATCATTCATGTACTTAAATTATTGTTATCCTTCAATAACTTTCTTCCATAGTTATTTCATACAATGCATATTCTCTTCCCAGAATATAACCAGTTAACCAGTCATAGGAGTGTGAAATAAGCATTAGTGTTACAAATTTTGTTCAATCTTAACTAGATATATCAAGAGCCAATACTCTTTTCAAAATATTGATAGTGAATCACCACATATATTATATAAGTATAGCAAATCAACAGCGATTACATGAAATATGTTGCATAACAAAAGTATTATTATAGCATAAAGTTCCAATGGCAAACAGAAATTTACCCTGAATCCATGTTTATAATGTCACAGAGCTCCAAGTTTACTGCCCAATCTGGACCAATTAACATGTCACTGGTTGCCCTCTCGGCAATGGCTGCTGCGGTGTTAGCCATCCTCTTCAAATCCCTTCAGGCGATATTTTATTAATAACCTAAAAGACCATCATTCAGTTCACGCTACCAATAATATACTTCATTCAAGTTAGAAAAAATTACAGCATATATACTTCATTGATCTGCTGAAACATAAAAACTCTCCAACACTTCACACATCATCCATGAAAATCAAGAATAAGGGGAACATGTAAACATATATAATTTCTCATCACATCAACTGTTCCCACTTTACTAGCTTAGTTAATTAAAATATTGCGAAAAGAAAATGTACCCAAAACATGAGATCATATCTCATCCACATCACTACACTTAATGGCTATCTTTATAAATTCCCACTTTCTAAAATGCATTCAACAGCTTCAATTATACATACCAACCATGATCCTATAATTTCTCCTTAACTAGTAATTATAACAGAATTCAATACACATTGAACTTTTCACCAGTCTCAAATAAAATCAAATTAAAATTTAATCAAGATTTAAAATAAGCTCAACTTCCAAATACAATAAACATTAATCAAAATTCAAACCTAACTCGAAAAAAAAAAAAACGAAATTCACACAAAATAAAGTAATTAATTAAGTGATCACTCACAAAACAATAGAAGAAACAATCGAGAATTAAGATCAAAGTAAACCAAAAATGATCTAGATCGACTATTTAATCCAGAACACATAAAATTAACATCAAATCGATGTAAATCAATGAAACTAAGAAAGAAATTAAAGAAAATTCAAAAGAATGGAAATTAGAGTGGAAAAATGAAGAGCTTACCTCGTCAAAAAATGGAGAGAGAAAATGAAATGTAGAGAGAGAAAGATGATGGGTTTGATTAAGTTTGGTTGAGAACTAATAAAATAAAATAAAATAAAAAGAAAAGGAAAATAGAAAGGTTGGAGAGATAATTAATGAGATAAGTAAGGTTTATTATATGATTTGATTAACTAATTAATTAATTTTTTTTTTTATTGAATGGATGATTAATTAATTAAATTTAATTAGTCTTGGAAGTTTATTGTAGGACGGTAAGAAGAGAGAGAAATTGGTTTGGCGTCACCGTTTGCACTCCGATTTGGACTTTCGATTTTTCTCATGCGCGTTTCAACGCCTCTCCAATGTTTTCAATAATTTTTTTTTTAATTTTTTTTAATTTTTGTACAATGACAATGAAATTGTTGGAATTTGGAAATGTTGGTTGTTGGTCAAAATTGTGATGAACTTGGGATTGTAATCTCCACTTCCTCTGTTTTTTTTATACATGCAACAGTTTGACTTTTACATTATATTCACTTGCTTCACTTTAACTGGCATTGATGATTTATAATTAAGAAAAAATATAGTCATGTGGGATCTTATTAGATTCGTCGCGATCTATGCTATTTTAGTATCAAATTAATATAATTTTTACATATTGATAATGTAAGATATTAACAATTGAAACAATGTATCGGTAAGAGTGAAAAGAAAAGTGTTGCAAGTAAAGTAAAGAAATAAAAATAATAATAAAAGAAAAAAAAGAGGAAGTATAACATAGTTAACATGGCATAGTCAGTTTTTTTTTATTTTTTTTTTTAAACAAATGAATTCATTAATAAAAAGCCATCCGACATCTACAAATGAAATATAAATTAACAAATACATAAAATTGAATCAAATTAAGGTTTCCTTCATCAAAGCTACGATCGTTAAAAAGATCTTGCATTGTGGTACATATCTCGCACACATCGCCGGAATATACAGCCTTTTCGGAGAGACGGTCTAACGATTTGTTGTAGCCGTAAGGATTTTTTTTTTTTTTTTTTAAGTAAGCAATTTTATTACCAAAAGAGGGCAAGCCCTCACACCAAACTACAACCCCTAAAAAGGGCAAAACACACCCCCAAAGACAAAAACAACAAGCAAGACAAAACAAACAAAAACTATCTAGGAATATAATTTTTGATAGCATAAAGCCATTTACACTGGCTTCTACTCCATTTACTATTTATAATCTACTGTATTATGTCCATGACCTCCCCACACAGATTAGCACATAGTCTCCTAGGTATAATCACAGCTCTATTCCAAAACACAAAGTTTCTGGCAGCCAAATACCATAAACCAGGGCAGACAACACAGCTAGGTACACCTTCTGTTTCACAGGGTCCTTAACAGCTTTCCTCCAAGATTTCCAAGACCTCTCAATATCAAACTAGGTCTCCTTAATATGAAGCCACTGACTGATGATTTGAATGCACTTTCTGCTGTAAGGACAGCTAAAAAACAGGTACTTCTGATCCTCAATATGGTCACCACACAGCAGGCACTCAGCAGACATACAAGCACCAAATTTCTGCAGTCCGTCTCTTGTTCTGAGTCTGTTTAGCATAGCCAACCAGGTAATAAAAGACTGCTTCGGAATGTTGTATTTGTTCCAGACCCATTCAATCCAGCCAACCTTCACAATATCTCTTAGCAGCCAGCTATACCCATCAGAGATCCTATAACCTACATTATGCCAATTCTCAGAAGAGAACCCATCCCTGAGTTCATCTCTCACAGCACAGATCTTTCTCCAGGTATGACCATCAGCTTGTTTAGGAACATAGGACCACCAATTGTCTTGCTTCAAGTACACAGCATGAACCCATTTGACCCAAAGGGAGTCTTTTTTATCAGCAATTTTCCAAACAAACTTCCTAAGTGCAGCTTTATTCCACAGCTCCACATCTCTAATCCCCAAGCCACCACATTTCTTAGGCTTACAGGCCCAGAACCAGGACACAGGAGGTTGCTTTGAAAGGACAGCAGAGCCACACCATAAGAAAGCTCTACAGAGCTAGTTAATTATGTGAATCACAGTTTTGGGGAACATGACAACCTGAGCCCAGTAAGTGTGAAGGCTCATGAGAACAGAATTGATTAGGAGAACTCTGGCAGCATAAGACAGGTTCCTACTAGACCATCTGGTAAGTCTTACTAACATTTGGTCCACCAGTTTGTCAAAATTAGCAACCTTTAGGTATTTTTCATTCAAAGGAATGCCTAAGTATCTGAAAGGCATAGATCCCTCAGCAAACCCAGTCAAATTTAGCATAGACTGTTTCATATTATTCTCAACATTCCCAAAGTAGATAGCAGTCTTGTTTGGGTTAGCTTGAAGACCAAAAACTCTCCCAAACATCTCAAGAGCTCTTTTTAAATAGGAAACAGAAAGAGAGTCACCATGAGAGAACATCATTAAGTCATCAGCAAAGATCAAATGAATGAGCCTCAATTGTTTGCATCTGTAGTGGAACCTGAATTCTGTCTTCTTACCCACTTTCTTCAAGAGTCTGGACAGATACTCCATTACAATGACAAAAAGAAGAGGAGACGTAGGGTTTCCCTGTCTCACATCTCTTTTACCCTTGAAGAAACCACACATACCCCCATTCATCAAACTGGAATAGGCTGGAGAAGTCACACAGGCCATGATCCATTGAGTAAATCTAGCAGGAAACCCCAAACTCATAAGAATGTCATGAATAAAGCTCCAACTTACAGAATCATAGGCTTTGCTAATATCAACCTTGATGGTGCATCTAGCAGATTTCCTTTTATTCCCATAGTCCTTCAAAACATCTTGACAAATAAGGACATTATCCAAAATGTTAGGTTTACAGTGTATTCAATCTAGAAAACACTTAATAAATTGTGTGGGACAAAACCTAATTAATGTGATTACACTAACAATGTAATGTAATACAAACAAACACAACCAAGGTGTTACAATCAAGTATTATAATATCAAAGAAATTACAGAAAATCTTTAAAAGAAACACTAATATGAAGACTTAAACACTTGCCTATACTCCAAGCCAATCAACCAAGCATGAACATGAGAATTGCAACGTCCCTTGAGACTATGATCTTGATACTCTGTCAAAGGCGTATGAATACTTTCCTAAAGGGATTAATTTCCCCCACACGGTGCTTGGGTTAATCCGAAAATTCCCTTTGAGATACAATTGACAACCCTTTCCGTTCTTAGCACAAAGAATCGAAAACAAAAATGAATGATTCTCGAAGAAGGATAAAATCAAGAAGTTTTTCTCAAAATAGTTTGCAAGAAAATTTAGAGAAAATTGGAGAATTCTTTTGGGAGAAGATAAGAAAATAATGTTCTGTCTGGTTTTTCTGAATCCTATTCGTATCACGAAAATCCCTCTTATAAGATGGTCAACCGTCAGCAAATAACAACAAAACTGGCTAATGGAGCGGGCGCGACAAATAAGGCGCGGGCGCGCCACAACTAGGCGCGGGCGCGCCACAACTAGGCGCGGGCGCGCCACAACTAGGCGCGGGCGCGCCACAACTAGGCGCGGGCGCGCCACAACTAGGCGCGGGCGCTCCTCTTTAAGGAGCGGGCGCTCCTACCCAGAATATGCCTTTGATGAAATTTTCCAGTGAGGGGCGCGGTTTGAGCGCGACCAGAGGCGCGGGCGCGCCACCAGGAGGCAGTGCGGGCGCACCAAAACTAGCGCGGCCGCGCCTCTTACTTTCATATTCCACGTTGAAATCCAGAGAGGTACGCGGTTTAGGCGCGCTCTCATCGCGGCCGCGCCTACCAGGCGCGGTCGCGCTTTTCATGGGCGCGAACGCGCACCATACAACACTCTAAATTATCTAACACAAAATAGATCTACCAGAGACAAAGGCACTGCATATCATCAATTAACACAGGAACACTTCCTTTAGCCTTGAACAAATCATTTTAGAAATTATCTTGTAGATGACATTACAGCAAGCTATGGGTCTAAAGTGAGTAACCTTACATGCACTCTCAATCTTAGGCACAAGAGTAAGAGTAGAAGCCCCAATTTGCTTCAACAAGTGACCATGCTCAAAGAAACCAAGGACATCTTTGCTGATATCAGGCCCTACAATACTCCAAGCAGCCTTGAAGAACTTACTAGAGAAGCCATTTAGACCAGGAGCTTTGTTAGCATCAATTTCCCAGAGAGCTTTCTTCACATCACCCACCACAAAACTTCTGCATAAAGTATTCCTCTGTTCATCATTAAGAATATGGCCCTCAGAAATAACAGTAGGGTGCAAACAACAATCAACTTCCTTCTCAGTACCAAGCAAACCTGTATAAAAGGAAATGAACAGTTCAACAATTTTATCAGGGTCCTGGATTACCTCAACCTCACCATCCTGAATCCCAGTGATTCTATTATGAATCCTTCTCTGTCTTAAAAAGGAATGGAAGTAGGCTGAATTGACATCTCCCTCTATAAGCCAATGAACCTTGGCTTTCTGTTTCAGAAAAGCAAACTTAGCATCATGAGCTTTAATGTATCTTTCCCTGGCATTCTTCTCATCTGTTATTAACAACTCGTTGCAAGGATCATCAACCAATTTCATCTGAATCTCAGCTAGAGCAGCAGCAGCAGAAGCATCCTCAGTCTCAACAGTTGAGAAACAGCTCACATTCAGGCTTTTCAGAGCACCCTTTACTTTCTGCAACCTTTACAATTTTGAACATATCAGTGCCCTGAACAGGAGTATCCCATGCCTGTTTTACACCGTCCAAGAAACCAGGAGCTTCAATCCACATGTTAAAAAATCGAAATGGTTTGTTAGCATTATCAACCCTGCCAAAGACATAAATGCAGCAAGGACAATGATCCATTAAGCCCTCAGGCAGGAATTTAGCAGAAGCATGAGGGAAAGCATTACTCCATTGATCATTAATGAGGACTCTATCAATCTGGGAACACACCCTATCCAAACCTTGATGTTATTAGTCCAAGTAAAGAAATTGCCTCCGGTCTTCAACTCAAAAAGCCCAGCACCAGCCAAACAGTCTCTTAAAGGGTCCACCTCAGCCAGGGAACACAGAGAGCCAATTCTGTCCCTTAGATTCAAGATACTGTTAAAATCACCCCCAACAAT